GAGATCATGACCTGAACTGAAACCAAGCATGGGAGACTCAACAGACTGAGCCACCCAGGCGCCCCTCCCCTTTTTTTTAAGCTGAGACCACATTTTAACTTAATCTTCTTTCCCTGTCTTACCCTGCTTGCTTCATCTTCCTGCAGTTTTCTCCTGAGAGCAGTGTCTCAATAAATCATGCGTTCAAGCACCCCGTGTTGAATTCTGACTATAGGGAATGCAACAATGCCAGATAGCTGCTGCTTTATACTTGAAGTCAAGGATGAATGCCCTTTCTGAATCTTTTGCCTGGGAACCAGAATTTGAATGTTTGACAATAGTATGTCTTTAATTCTAGTGGTTCTTCACAGATCATAGTACTTCTCCCCCCGCGATAGTCTTTGAAAAGATTAAGAGGAGAAAGATTCAACTAATTTCTCATTTTGCTCATGTAGACACCAATATGGAAGTAGAGGCTCTCCTTAGAAAGTTACAAGAATGGGTATTGAGGAGGGCACCTTTTGGGATGAGCACTGGGTGTTGTATGGAAACCAATTTGACAATAAATTTCATATATTGAAAAACATAAAATAAAATAAAATAAAATAAAATAAAATAAAATAGAAAGTTACAAGAAACTTTGGAACTCTTTTCTACCTTCTTTGGCTTTCTAACATAAAATATAAAATATAATATAACATAAATAAAAGATAATTCAAAGTAAAGATAATTTATGTAGATGTTAAGAATCATTAATAACATTCTCCTTCAATTAGAAAAACAGGAATCTCTTTAATCAACTGGATATGTTTTATTTTCTAGGAAATAGAAGTTCAAAGAAAGCATTTGCAAGTTAAATTGCATGTACTATCACTATCTAGAAACAATACTTTTTCTATCATCAGTTTCTATCTATTCATTAGCTAGGTTCTCCAAGAGTGAACACTCAGTTGAAGAGAACGTTTCAAGACACTACCAATTTCTCCTTGTATAGTACAAAAATTGACATAAAAGTCTCCTAATGGAGTATTTTACTGATGCACCAGAGACCATTTTTCTAATGTCTGCAAAAAATGTCACTCTGACAAATAGGAGATCCACGGCCTTCAAGATGTCATGGATTCTTTCACACTGCCATCCTTTCAAAGCCTTATTTTTGCACCAGATATCACATATCAAAAATCTATGTAGAAAGAATGCAACACCAATGGATATAAAATATACAGAAGTATCATTTTAGGTCAACTTTATTTTTGTTTCGCCTCTAGCAATAGTGATCAGCAAGGATTTTCAGTAAATGTATAATGTTGGTTAATTGAGAAGATATTTAGACATTTCCAGTTTTAGAAATAATTTTAGAGACATTGAATTCCATAAATTCCATATGGTCCAACAGAGAAAATATAATTTTTTCTTCCTTTGAAATGTCAAAACCTTAAGTGACCTCATTTTTGAAGCTGGAGGGAAAAAATCATTTGCCCTTACCATGTAATGGTAGGAAGGAAAAGTCATTTCACACCTTTGAACACCGGTGTGCCCTTTATCTTGTCTTGTAATGATGTAAGTTTGTTTGAATGAGGCCACTGAAAATAAGTAGCTGTGGTTTTCTCAAAAGAAAATTCTATCTAGGACATGGCAGGCACTGGAGACACTATTTTAGCAGCAAAGACTTTTTTAGTATAATCCTTTTAACTTGGTAGTTATAAAGGTCATTTCTATTTGAAAATTAAAGACTTCATTGGACTGCAAAATATTCCCAGATTTGTAAGACTTTAATAAATTATCTTCATAGAGTAATTTGCAAACCGAATAAGTAGGCAAGTTGAAAATTCCCCCATGCTTTGAACACTACACATTTGTCTCAGATCATGTGAAAAGATAGATAGATGATAGACAGATAGATAGATAGATAGATAGACAGATAGATAGATATCCAACATATATTTATGTAATAATAGAGATTTGCGTGGTTGGATTTATTTTTTCTGTAAAAACAATTGTCATTCAGGATGCTGGGTTAATAAGGTTGTGAAAAGCTGACTAATCTTAATTATAACAAAGGCTTTGTAATATTCATAGTTATTTCTTTATTTTAAAAAGGTATATATATATATTTTTTAAATAATAAACCACACACGTACACACAAAGGCCCTCATTAGTCTTGCAGAAACTGTTAACATTTTTGCTGTATATCCTTATAGCACATTTTCATGTATATATATTTTTCTTTAAAAAAAACTATTAATTTTTAAAAAATGTTTTCACAACCCTACTGTTTTAATGTGCTTATAGAAATGCCTAATGAGACATCAGTAATACTCCTTCTTTCTTATTTTTAAAATACACCTGTAAAGAGAAAGAAGTAAATATCCAATGTATT